ACATTTGCACATCCATTACGGCTCTCCTCCCCGCTCCGCCACCGCCGCTACAATGGGAACAATTATGCTCAATTATTCTCCACCACACCGTTGACAAAAAGCTGGTATTTAAACTTTAATTATTCTCTCAACGTGTGTGAGCAGCAGGGCTGCTGCCTGTGCCAGCCCCTGCATAGCCCCCAGCTTCCCAGGCCTGCTGCCTTTCCCAGAACTGATGTCCCAATGCAGGGGTTCCTGCAGGGATGCTTCAATGCTCCTGAGATGGGCAATCTGGGGAGACCCCCAGGGAAGGATGCTCCAGGGAGTGAGACCCTCCTGGAGGGGAGGATGCTCTGGGAACCAAGACTCCCTGGGGGATGAGGATGCTGAGGATGACAGCACCGGGAAAGGATGCTCCCAAGAGAGGAGGGAAGGCAGGAGACCTCCGGCACGGCCGCAGGCAGATGGACTCCGGGTGCTGGGAAGCTGCAGAAGCCCTGGATCCACCTGCGCCGAGGCACCCGTGGTGGGCCATGGGAAAGGCTATAAATCCCAGGGCCAGGCGCAGCTGCAGCATGGAGCAGCTTTACTGTACCAGCAGCGACACGTTATTTAAGGCGCCTCTTAAAACCTAATGTTAGGTTTAATAAGAGAGATAAAAGCGCGTCAGCAGCTCTCCCGCCCGCAGCTCAGAGCCCTGGCAGCCCAGGGGGACCGTCCCGGCACCAGCAGCATTCCCAGCACTGGGACACCTGCGGTGGGTCCCATGGACAGTGAGGGCTCTGGCTCTGGGTGCTCGCATGGGCGCTGTGGATCCAGCACGGGGTGCGAGCGGGAGGGAGGCGGCAGCAGTGGGACTGTGGTGTGACCGTGCTGGTACCCGCTCCCGCGCAGCGCCTCGTTAGCACTGCTGCCCCACGAGCAAGACCTAATTGAGTGCAGCTAATTACCCACGGGGCTCACTGTGCTGGCCTGGGCTGTGGACGTGGGGCTCTGCGAAGGGAGCGCGGCAGAGCCGGCGGGAGCTGAGGTGCACGTAGCATTGTGGCTCCTCTCCCTGAATACCAGTTAGGGGTGAAGCTGCCCCATAAATCTGCACCAACGATGACCGCCCTCGCTGCTTACTCCTGCCTTCTCCCTGCACGGCTGGGTGAGGAATCGCTCGGCTCTGCAATGTGGCCCTGGTGCCTATCCCAAGTGGCAGAGCCAGAGCTGTGCAGAGGGCCGGGCAGCGCCTGCAGGCAGTGCTGGGTGCACTGACCAGCACCGAGCAGATCCCATCCTCCCTGCATCGCTGCATCCCAAACCTGCCGCGCGGCTCCTTCCCAAAACCCTGGCTCCCAACCTGGGCAGCAGGAGGGAGGGGACAGGCTGCGACAGGCAGTGACATCCCAGCTCCCCCTGCCAACAGGGATCGGTGCCCTGTCCTGGGAGGGTGCGAGGGAGATACCATCATCATCGTCATCATCATCACCATGGCAAACGCAGCCACGCGGCTCCCTTCTGTGTGGATCAGCTCCTCTGTTTATCTGGGAATAATTGCAGGGACACGACAGACCGGTGACGCCGAGGAGCTTGTCTGCCTGCAGGAGCCGCCTTGCCACGGCGCTGCACCTTATCTGCCTGCAGAAGGATGAGGGCGGGAAAATATTTACTGCCAGGGATATTTGTCATCTGCAAATTACCTTTGCCTGCAACCTGCGGCGGGGAGGGGGAGGCAGCGCCGATCTGTGTTGCAGCATCTGTATGGCAGGCACACGGGCACCAGGGTTCCCCGCGCCCGCCTGCACCTCCTGCCTCGGTGCCACCGTGCACAAGAACTGGAGTGCGCTGCAGAGCCGGCCATCGCCTGCACCCACAGAGCTGGCCCTCGGTGGCGCCGTGCGCCCGCGTCCCCTCCATCGCCCACAGCCCAACACGCTCCTGTGACCGCGTCCAGCCCCTTGTCCAGCCCCATGTCCGGCCCCGTGCTGCCCATGGCCACTTGCCAGCACAGTTTGTGCCTGGCATTCCCGCTCCCGCTGCCAAGCAGTTATCACTGCCATATCCGCGAATGGATCTAATGGACGTGACAGCAATTGCCCAAGCGCCGCTGCCGGCAGAACTAACGCATCGCGCGGACCAGCCTCCCGCTCCGGGCCAGGAAGTTGCAGCTCCGACAGGGCAGGCGGCAGCGGGAGACGCCAGC